AAACTGCAGTAAAGTATGTTAAAGCCACTGCAGGAAAATAGATCAAATACATGAGAGTTCATAGCAAGGAACACTGAAGAAAAATAACTCATGTTTGATTTTCTTTATTTGACAGTACTCAACATCACTTTTTAAAAATTAACCCTTCAACATTCTTTCCCCCAGAAATCCAAATTTTTAGCTAGAGTTCTATGACCAAAATAAATCACTAATACAGAGAGCTGCTAATAAACAGTTCTCTTCATGAATATCAGCTGCAACAGAAGAAAGCAGGAGTCAAAAGCAAAACATACAACATCAATAGTTTTATCCCCTTGGTATAATCTCTCTAGATGAGATATGATGAAAGCTCAATACAAGGGAGCTAAGCAGCAGAAAATTAAACTGTCTTCCACTATTAGCTTCAAAAGGTATTCTTTAAAGCTGTACCAACTGGACTAATAGTACCTAGTTCTAGCTATGTTTACAGTTATGAACTGGCTCAAACAAATCTTTTAAAGCAAAATGCAGGAAACCACAGGTTTGCATTTACTTATTTCAGGTACATGCAAAGTAGCATCACAGTAATGCTTCAAATCAATTTATTTAAACAATTTACTTTTGTTAAAATTTTCTTATTTGTAACATACTGGAAAAGAATTGCCCAGTATTTCCTACACCACCTGTGGGAACCAAGGGCTATGATCACATGAAAAAGGTTTCATAAATCTTGTAAACCTTTCAAAGAGATGAGACTGACACCTGTAATTTATGGACAACAGCACCTTCAAAGTCAGGACATTCTACCTTTTCCATAAAACTTGACCCCGTAGTGTTAAAAACCAAGGAGTTCAGACCCAAGTTCTCCATCATGTAATTTGAAGCAGTGCTTATGCATACTGTCAGTTAATATACTAACAATATTAGGGGCAGGGAAAGTAAAAGTGCCAGGATTTCTGTGACCTTGCCTACACATGAAGAATAGACAAATTTCAGTCAAGTTTACCCAGTCACAAAGAAGTCAACTCAATTTCCCTACAAAATATACGGTGTTCTGTTTTTAATGCAGTGTAAATTTCAGACAGTCCACATTTCAGACAGGCCAATATTCAAGGCTCAGAAACTACTTTCTACAAAAAGCTGAGTGAATCAGAAGAACATTTCCACAAAACTGACAAAAATAAGCTTTCTGTCTCTGCAGGTATCAGCCCATGCTCAAAAGTTTTCCCCTGGACTGATTAAAGGAAAATGAACTTATACATATACACTAAACCTTCCACACAGATTGATTCCCAAAACACTCTGTGACAGCATTTAATCATTAGGGAAGGGAAGGAAGGGATGGACATGACATAACCAAATCAAACAACGAAAGCAACACTATTAAAAAACAGGACTTCTTTTTTCGTTTGATAGCTTAAAATAAACAAACAGGCAAATCTGGGTTTCCATCTGTTTTCCTTAAAAACAATCCTACTTCTCAACAATTTCTGACCAATTTATTCTTTTTCTTCAGTGACGAGTTAAAACTCGTCTTTCCATTTTCTTATCTGAAGCACTTACATTTTAACAGTTGTACCACAAATCCAAAAGTCTACATCACTTCCCAAGTCTCAGAAGTTATTCAGTGAAGGCAATTCCTGAGCTGCAGGGCTACAAATAGCATTATGCAGTCTTTATTAAAGCACAGAACAAACATTATTTTCCTGAAAGACCTTTAAAGAAAGAAAACACAGATATGATCACATATTCCAGCATAATATCAAGATTCCGACATGATACTTAAACAAATTCCAGAAAGTCCCACCCTAAAATATTATATGAATTTAAAGCCACAGTGTTAATTAATTTGTAATGAAAGATCAAGTCACAGAACAGCAAAGAAATATTTACACTCAATTAAGACAGATTTTTTTCAGTGAACATGGAATAAAAGAAAAACATGCTGTGGTATATTTTTGTGCTCTAGACTTTCAGCAAAGCTTGCAAAAAGAATAACAGGGTGGAGAACATATGCAGAGTTTTGGGCTCTTCTATGTACAATGTCTCTGAAACTGTTTGTTTGACTTTGGATTTTTGTCTACCTCCTCTCCTCACTTTCTAAGGAACACAAGTGGAAATGCACATTTCAAATAAACAGAAGATACCAATGCAAACAATAGCACAATGTGGCCTGAAGTCTTCTACTGAAATACAAGCACAAAGAAATCTTACAGCACAGGCAAAAGATGTATTGGCAATAAACACATGTTTACACATGAAAATGTGTAACCATGAAAATGTGCAACCAATGGAAACCTCCCCAAATTTAATCTATAATCTTAGAACTGTTTGGAGTGGAGAAAGATTAAAGAGATAAGGTTGCTGTATCATTACTGCTGTTTCAAATCTTGAAACTCAAAATATAAAGTTGCTACTGTGTCATATTTTTATATTTATGCACCTATGAAAAAATCTTCTAGACACAAAAACTACCTTTACTAGACCTTTTTTGCACTAAACATAAGAAAATAAAATTTTGATCATTTAAATTGTCACCGCTGCTTCTCACCATCTCAAGACTGTCAAAATGTGAGTTTAAAGTCATGAAGACAGGAACTGTTCCTAAAAGTTGTTGGCTTCTTTTAATTCTTGTTGAATTAAAATTTGAATTTAGAGCCATTTCTTTAACTGTTCAATTTCATTCACTGACAAAACACTCACATGTGCAGGTGTAACTGAAATCTTAACTACACATCTAAGATTACAAGGATAACCTGCTCTAACTTCCTTAAACACTTCTGACCCTTAATCTATCACCCCAGTAATACCACACAGAGCTGCTTTGGCAGGATCAAGGATTAACAGTACACAGCTTCGGGTAGGCAAAGAAAATGCAAAAGAGAATCAATGAAGTATGTCTCTTTTTGCTTAAATTGAAAATGACAAAAAATCCCAGGAGTTCCATTCTTGATCAAAAATCATCTGTCTGCTTTGTTTACAGAATGCAAGCTCCCACTTTTCAAATACTTAAAGTTTTAATTGTGTTTAAATGAGATCTCCCTATTTTCCACTGATGCCATAACACAGGGTCTGGTGTCTGAAATTTCTATGAAAATAGCACAACATGAAGATTTCCTCTGCATATGACTTCTTGCAGCAGTTCAGCAGACCAGTGTGTTTCTTCCCAAAGACAACCACAGAGCATCTTCATACAGAGAGTCTACATACCCATGCTGTTATCATAACACAGTTGCTCTAAATGCTGCTATTCATTTACGTAAGCCTCTGACATTGGGTTAGTAAATAAAGGCACTATCTTCGCCTTTACCTCAAAAAGAAAGGCCACATGGCAATCTAAGAAGATTGCATGGACAAACATAAAAACTTGATGGCTACTTATTCCTTTCACATACAGATGACATTTTAAGGAACAGTTAGTAAAATGAGATGGACAGAAATACCAACAGAAATAATATTTCATATATGTTCTAAAGAAATTGAGAACTTCAGAAATCAAAATAGCAGTGGCAAGGTTAGTACATGCTAAGCATAATACAGTGATGGTTAAAAACTGTTGAGAACTCAAACCACTTTCAATCTAGTTGAAAAGACAATATAATTTAGAAAATTACACTCTGGCAACAGGAAACATGAATATCTACATTCTACAAAGAGATTTTCAGAATTATTTGAGTAAAACTTAAGACAGCAGAAATATTTTGAAAAAAAATCAAAGTAGAGAATGATCTTGTTCAGTAAGACTAAAAGTTCTAGTTTTTCCACAGTAAGATTTAAGTATTGATGAGGCATTTTTAGCAAGCATTAAATAAAATAAGAATCACACACAAATCTGTTCCATCTACATATGTTTTCGTACCTGTAGATGATTGGCAGCCACTAGGTAACTTAGTCAAACACATCCACCCAGGCCAAAACTTGGAAGCAGGCACTCCAGTGCAAAAATTGTAAAAAGCATCCTACCACCACAAAACTTCTTGTCAGAGGCTTCAGTTTCCACAACAAAAATCACAGTTTGCCACTAGTTACTCAGGTCCTTTTACAAAAGATTATGCCAATCAGAGTAGCTCTGAGTTAACACAAACAGGTAATGATGAATTTACTTTGATATATATTCCACCTATTATGTTTGGAAGGTTGAAGATGGTCTATCAAGTGTTACTATTAAACCAGAACTTTGAAAACTCAGTTTTGTTGGCAGAGAAGGTATTAAATGCTAGTGCTTGCTATAACTAAAACAGCAGAGTTACCTACTGTAATAGTCTTTCTTCAGCTTTAGTACCAGTGAACAAAATTTACAGTAAATAACTCTATTTAAAGGCTTCTTAATGTTTCTACAAAGCAAGTATTTTGTGATCATTACATATTTTGGAGTTGCTGTTTATAGCTACAGTAACTACCACAAGTCGAAGATGACAAACGAGTTTAGACAGAGAATCTGAAATTTAAACCACTAGAACAAAAACTGATTTCCTCCTGGGCCTGTCATCAGACGTGAAAGCCAGCATACGAGATTTAAGGAAGGATTTTACCTAAGGTAACACATTGCCCTTTCAACATCTAACCTGCACAGTTTGGTATCTA